ATCTGAAATAAATCTTAAGATATAGATTTATCTGGAGGAATCCTAGGATCTATCGTAGAACCTAGGATCTAAAATCTAGAAGGATCTTAGGATTCAGGAAAATCCTAGGGTCTGGATTAATCTGGGATCAGGATTAATCTAGGGTCAAGATTGGCCCAAGTGACCTCATACAAAAATGAGGTCAACACAAAGTAATAAATAATATTTAAAAATTATATTTTATTATTTTTCTTTTTTTTTTTTGGGAAATTTTGGGGAAAAAAGCCCATCTCATTGATAAAAAGATTACAAGAAAGAAAGGAAATCAAAACTATAATCCAACAATCTCGAACAAAAAGAGATAATGGATTCTAAAAAGAAAATTACAATTAATAATTAAGCAAAAACAATTTGGCAAAAATGCCAAGGACTCATAAATGCTCTAGTATTCGTAAGGGTCAAAAAGCACATTTGGGTCAATTGAGCATAGCCCCTGGTTGCCCAGAAGACCATCCAAGGGGCAGCTGATAAAATCAGCGTTCATCATCGTCCTTTCAAAAATAATTTCCCCCTCCTTGTAATCTTGCCACTGAACTATCACGATATCAGAAAAGAGCCCGAGCAAAAACATCAGAGTGCAAATAACCCAGATCACAAACAGCTGGATCATCATGAGCAGACCCAGAGCAGAAAAAACAGCAACGCCGAGCTTCCAGAATACGGCTATCTTCATGTTTTCCATCCCAGATTTTTTAACAGAATAGCTTTCTTGATTTTAGAAGTAATTGTGGCATTATAGTCAATGATGCCACCTAAAATTCTGTTATTTCTTGCTCGCCAAACATAGTAGATAGTAGCAGAGGCAGTAAGAAGAAAAGTGTTCCTAGTTTTAGAGTTAAAACTTTGTTCCCAAATACTATAAAAAAGCTGATAAATGTTTGGTCTCATCAACAGTTTTTGCAACCAAGGGAAAAGCTTTTTGGCAATATCAAAAGTGAAACCACATTCAAAATATAGGTGTGTGATAGTTTACATATTATTGTGACAGAAACAACAAGTGTTTGGAACCATAATGCTTCTAACAGCAAGAACATCGGCTGTTTTTAAGCCACCCTTAAACACGAGCCAGGCATAGACAGAATAACGAAGAGCCCCCTTCTTATGCCAGATATGCTTATGCCAAGACACCTTTTCTTTATGAGCATAAAACATAGAATTGAAATCACCAAACATTGGGTTTTGCTTGTCATACCATAAATGATTTTCAGGTTGCTTATCAATAGTTACATCATTAACGAGGGCAACCAGTTCATTATCTAAGTAATTAGGGATGTTCCAGCGATCTCCCCGGATAAGCTGAGAGATTTTCCAATCAAAGAGGTAAGAAAATCTAGAAATAGTGTTTTTATTAGTGAGATAATCAGCAACCGAATTGCCACCACACCATGGATCCCATATAAAAGACAGATTGCTGCTGACATTTATAGAAAAATTGATACAACCTTTAATCTCGTTAGCCTTAGCACACATATAATCCCAATAAGGAGATTTTTTAGTAACAGTTGGGTTCCACAACGATTGATATTTGCCTCTCCACCAGCTAAAGAGAAGAGAATTTGCATTTAAAAATCTCCAAATAGTGGAGAAGGTAAAACTATGCTTAAGTGAATCTATAGAAGGTATGCCCAAACCCCCATTGATTTTAGGACAGCAAGTGTTTTTCCATGAAATAGTAATCAATTTCTTCTCTTTAATGTTGCCATAATATGTAAATCTGGAACACAGCCGATCAATTTGTTTACAGCAACCTTTAGGTATGATTGAACCACAGATCCAATAAGCCAGAGTATTGGAAATTGTGAATTTAATAAATTGTACTCTCCCCGCTAATGACAAGGTTTTAGCTTTCCAGCCTTCTAAAAGAGAGGTAATTTTCTGCAGCAAGGGCTGGAAGCCACAAAGTCTCAGTTTTTTATAAAAAATAGGCAACCCAAGATACTTTATGGGAGAGAGGGACTGTTGAACATTAAGGATATTACAAATATCCTCAGCCACCGGTGTGTTCTTGGAAATTAAGATTGAACTTTTATCAGGATTCACCTTAAGTCCAGAAACAACCTCAAAATCCTTAATAATGTGAGCATTTGTAGTGGTGGCTGTGCTAAACAAGAGAAGATCATCAGCAAACATAAGATGTGAAACCTCACAATTTCCAGCTTTGATGGATTGGAGAGATTTATTGGAAGAAGCAAGGTCAAATAAAGTGGATAAACCATCCATAATTATGCAGGAAAGGTAAGGTGACAAGAGGCAACCTTGCCTAATCCCTGAGGTGGAGTTGAAATAGCCTTCTAGCACCCCATTAATGCAGATAGAGAAGTGGACATTAGAGGTACAAGCTTTGATCCAAGAGATGAACATACTCGGGAAACCTTTATCTTCAAGCCTTTTGTACAAGAATTCTCTGGACACCATGTCAAAGGCTTTTGTAATATCAAATTTGGCACATAAATATTTAAGCTTATCTTTGATGTTGAAACAACCAAGAATATCAGTTGCCAACAGAATATTATCAGTAATCATCCTCTTATGAATGAATCCACCTTGACTTGGATGAATAATGTGAGGCATCACCTTTTTCATCCTATTGGCAATAATTTTTGCAATGATTTTGTAAATAACATTGCAAAGAGCAATTGGTCTATAGTCTTTCACATTGGAAGCATGAGTTTGTTTAGGAATAAGTGCAATAGCAGTCACTTTAATCTGGTTTGGCATGTAGCCAGTGGAAAAGGAGTAGGCTGCTCTGCAAAGTTGGTGTTGGATAACAGTCCAAGTGGACCTATAAAAATCAAATGTGAATCCATCTGGTCCCGGTGCTGTATTAGAATTGCCAGAAAAAACAATAGCTTTGATCTCTTCCAAACTAACCGGAGCTATAAGAGAAGAGGTAAGGTGAGCTGGAATCAAATTTCTAGTGGGAATGTCCACTGGCTGAAGATTGAGATTTACAGGAGCAGGTGAATTGAATAGGTTTTTGTAATGTCTGATAAATACATTGGCAATATCAGCTTGCTGGTAGTAAGTACCTTGGTCATTAGTGATAGCCTTGATCCTATTATAGTTTTTAGTGATGTTGATTTTTGAGTAGAGAAACTTCAAATCATCTTCACCATGAGTTAACCATTTAACCTTTGCTCTTTGAGTGATCCAATTAGCCATTGCAGTTTGATAGTTAGCCAGTTTGTTGCTTATGTGGCTGAGTTTGCTATTCAACACCAAATCAAGAGGATTGTTTTGTATCTGGCTGAGCACCGAATGGTACTCATCTTTGAGAGTATCAATGTCTTATTGCATGTGATTTAGCATTAGCCCACCTTTTATTCTTCATAGTGATCTTAAGTGTCTTAAGCTTATAGTTGAAAGAGCTTAAGGGACTACTCTCATTAGGAATAGAAAAGACATCCAACAGACAGGTTCATATTATTTTTCTTTACTTTTCTCATCTATTATCATTTTTATTATATTAATTGTTTGAATCATAGTCATTTGTTCTATTTCATAGTAAACGAATTGGTTCAAACTCGTAGAATCAAGCTGAAGCTCAAATCAGAGGTGACTCGAGCTCAACTTGACTCATTTATACCCTTGGATCAGCCCATTAATTAAAAAAGCTTAGGAATTTTAATGGGTCGAATTGGAGCACTCACTAGCTTGTCATATTTAGGGTATAAAACCCCAAAGTTAACCCTCTATCCTACAAAAAGAAAGATAGTTGCTAAGGAAATTGGCTAAAAGGGCCATTGGCCAGTAGCGTCATATACTCATATGGGCCGTATAGCCTAGGAGAACTTGGCGTAATTAGTGGATGCCAATTAATTAATTTTGTTAATAAAATTATTATAAAATATTGTAAAATCTTAATTGAATCACCACTAAATTAAACCAATATTTTAGCTTTCAAATTTTTTTTTTTTAAAAATAAATTTATCAAACACTTAGGAGAACTTGGCAACTACTAATACAAAAATTTTGAGTACAAAAAAGTTATAGTACTAAAAATTTTCTTTGGAAAGGAACAAAAAATGCGTCCTAAATGAAACCATAGAATATGAATTTAATTTGTAATTAAATAGTTGGAAAATATTGTTAGCTTGAAAGTAAATTTGATCATTATTATATCCAACTTTATTTTTATCTGAAATCAACATAAGATAAAAGCTCTTAAGAATTAATACTATTTAGGTGTTTATTATCTCTTGTTATTTTATGTTATTTCTTAAAATAATAATATTTAGGTGTTTGTTATCCTTTTATTATTTTATGTTTTTGGTTGAAAATAAATTTAACTATCAGTGTATCTAAATTCTTTTTCATCTTATGCTTCATTTGAGGCTATTTTCTTGCTGTTTTTAAATAATTTTTTAGTATAAAAATTTTAATTTTTATACTAAAAAATTATTTTAAGAAGCAGTAAGAAAGTCATCCCAAACGAGATCTTAAATTCACTTTTTAGGCAATAATTCAAAGTTCGTATTATCTAAATCATTTTTCATGTTTTTGGTTGAAAATAAATTTAACTATTGGTGTATCTAAATTCTTTTTCATCTTATGCTTTGTTTGGAGCAATTTTCTTGCTGCTTCTTAAAACAGCTTTTCAGTATAAAAACTTTAATTTTTATACTAAAAAATTGTTTTAAGAAGCAGTAAGAAAGTCATCTCAAACGAGATCTTAAATTCACTTTTTAGGCAATAATTAAAGTTCATATTATCTAAATCATTCCAAATATTGGCCTAAAAAGGATCAAACAATCTAACTTTCGGCACCTTGCCCAATTGCTTGAAAGTTGATAGCAATGACCTATCGCTGGTCTGATGATGGTTGCCATTAGCAAAGTCTTCAGTAAGAGAGAAATAATATAATTTCAAAACTCTTAGTATCATGAGTCCAATAACCCACTTTTGGACTGTGATAGGCCAAATTATTATCCAACATAACAAACAATTGATGAATCAAAGGATTGTGTGAGCTGCGCGCAGAAATTCTATAAAATGAACGTCATCAAATACATGTCAAGAAGCACAAAATAGTTACAAAGGGCCATCCTTTTTTAGGCAAAGTGTTGGTCTCCCAAAGGCGAGATTATTTTATGCGGACACATGACCGGAGAACCGTCCGGTACCCGCTTGGTACCGAGCAGCAGTACCGAACGCGATACACTTTTGGAGTGACGTTGTGCATTTTTGTTGGTCTGTGGACGACGTCCAGACTCCGCACAGAATAAAAATTCCCTAAAAGTAATCCAATGCTGCAAATGTCTTTGAATCAATTTCCTGTAGAGATCACATAAAATATTATGAAACAAAGTACGGCATAGGAGCTCTGCTGTGGCAAGAGGAAACACAAAGGGCAATTGACCGAAAGAGATATTTAAGTCCAGCACAAAACAGTTCCCAAGACGACTCCTCGTCAACCTGATCGAACACTTCACCGTATCTTCTCCAGCGAATGAGCCATGCATGCGTCGCTTAGTTCTCACACCAAATTTGAAGTGAACAGCCAATCACCGAAAGCTGCAGGCTTTACCACTGACGAGACCTTTGAGCTTCTCTCCCAACTAAAGTGTGGATGATTGCACTTCATCTTCTTTATTCTTTATATTAAAGTGATACCATACTCTCTTTTTAAGGTTACTTCTTCATTTCTTCTTTCGATTCTTCTGAACTGAACTGCGAGAAAATAGAAGATGAGCAGGTATTGGAGTAGTGATGATGAAGATGATGACAGTGGAGATGATTTTCTGAAGAAGTTGAGGCTGAGGGATAAGAAGGATAAGAATGAGAAGCCCACACTTGTTCAGATCATGTTCTCGTGGTCTCTTAGTGATGTTTTTAATCGCGATCTCTTTAAGAACAAGGTTTAATTATACACCTTTCTTGATCAATTGGTTTCTGTAGCAGTATTTCTGATTGAAATTTATCAATTTTTTTCTTCAAAGACTCGCGAAGTTTGATCTGCAATTTAGGGTTCGTTTGGGACGGCTTTTTTATTGCTTTCTAAAACGGAGTTTTAGTACAAATTTTTTTATTTTTATACTAAAACTCCGTTTTAGAAAGCAATAAAAAAGCCGTCCCAAACGAAGCCTTAGTTTCCAGATCTGGAACGTCCATGTACTGAAAGATAATATTGATCGGCATTTTTTTATTGAAGAACTTAGTACAACTAGTTTGAAGATTTTGCTTAGAATTCTCTTGTTCAAATTAAAATGAGACTAAGGCTTCGGGACAGTTTTTTTATTGCTTTCTAAAATGGAGTTTAAGTACAATTTTTTTTTTATTTTTTACTAAAACTCCGTTTTAAAAAGTAATAAAAAAGCCGTCACAAACGAAGCCTAAGTTCTTACTTAGAAAGAAACTTGAATACAACGTAGTAAATATAATTTAGGATCTGCTGGGACAGCTTTTGACTGCTTTATTTTTTTAGATAACAACTATTTTCTTATGATTTTCTCATTGTTTTTCAAATATTTATTTTGTGAAAGGTTACTTTGTAACAATAATAGCGGAGTTGCTTTCTTCATAGTTGCAACTTCACAACCATCCCAAATAAAGACCCTTAGGCTTCATTTGGGACGGCTTTCTTATTACTTCTAACGTAGCTTTATAGTGCAAATTTTTGTACTAAAGAGTTGAGAAGTAATAAAAAAACCGTCCCAAACAAAGCATTACTGAAAAATTCAAAGAATGGTTAAACAATCCTTGTAATTAATCACTTGCTATTTATTAAAATTTAAGTTTGATTTGTATTAATATTATAATATTATTAATTAAATTCATATTGATGCATATTATTTTGGTTTTTTTTCTGGTTCTTTAATTTTTTTAGTTTTGTGAATTTTTTAAAGGTGAGTTGATTACTTTTATATTTTTATGTATTTTGCATTGCCAGTCAGATCCAATCCCTAGTCGGAGTAGAATAGTTTCTGATGAATCCCTTGTTTATTATATTCACCCAAACCAATATGTTTATTGCTATTCCTATTGGCAATTTTTTTTTTAATGATGAAAATTTATGAAAAGCTTGTTTTAAATTCTTGGATTTGCTTTGAGACTAATAATTTTTCTTAATGCTTACTTAAATCCTTGATATAATATATAAAAAATATAGCCTTACTAAGATTTACTAAATTTAGGAGGATTTATAGAATTAGTGATCTCACTTACATGCATCCTAATATTTTGAGAACTTAACACATAATATTTAGTAAATCTGAATTTACAAAATTTATTGTTTTCTGCTCAACTCAAATCCTATTTTTATCTAATTATTCAATGAGTTTTATGATCATACTAAATTGAAAAAGAAAAATTATGTTAGAATATTAAAAAAATCAATGTATTCATCTCAAAGCAGATCTAACATATTACAATCAGTTCTCATCCATATTTATCTCTTCTTCATAATGCCAACATTAGTTTTGTTATTAAAATATCACTTAACTAATTACTGATAGAGTTGAAGACTACATATTTATAATTTCTGCAGGTACAGAAGATACCAAAGACTTTTACATCCTTAGAACATTATTTTGGTTCCTTCACCACACCATTGATAGAAGAAACTCATGAAGATCTACGCTCTAGTTTGCAGGCATTTTCTCATGCATCATCATACGCAGAATTACATTCTATCGAACAAACAAAAACTCAATTGCTTTACAGCATTGTAGTTAAAATTCCTAAGATTGATGATGATGGTAATTCTGGATATGTTTCTTACGAGCCAATGGATTCAGACATTTTTGTGCTCACAAGAACAAAACCAAAACATGTATCGGATTTAACATGCAACGCAACGTCATACATTATCGGTTGTGTTGTTCGAAATAAAGATTCTGTTGAAAATGTGGACCCTAATCAATATGTTGTCAAGCTATCGCGTCAGCTGGAAACTAAATCCTACAGAGAATCATATTTTATGGTTTTCCTGTTGAATATGACAACGTCAATTAGAATCTGGAAGTCGTTGGATCTAGACTTGGCCACGAAAAGAAATATGTGCATCATCAATAAGTTATTATCTTATGATTCATCGGTAAGCTACAGAACTTTTCAGCTTTAATTCGACATAATTATTATAAAAATAATAATTTTTATTAGATTATATTATTAGCAATATGTGTTACATGTCAAAACCACCAAAATCACCAAATCTATTTTATACCTTTGTAGCTTCAAGTCTCTTTCCATCTATCTAATACATATACTTGTTCTTCACCCTTTCAAGTTTCACCAGACACATAATAACATTCTTTTTTTACCCAACAACTTGTCTGTCTACAGGTTAGAAGTGTGAGTTCCCCTTCATCTTGTTCAAGTGAAAATTTTCTCGAAGTATGTTTGAGTGACTATCTGGACAGATTCGAACTAAATGGCTCACAGAAAAGTGTTGTCCAAGATTGTCTATCAATGAGGGAAAGCAATCATACAGATAATCCTATAAAGCTCATATGGGGTCCTCCAGGAACTGGAAAAACAAAAACTACAAGTACTTTACTACTTGCTCTTCTGCAGTCAGGATGCAGAACGCTCACATGTGCACCTACAAACACGGCTGTCGTTGAAGTTGCTTCTCGCCTCTATAAATTGTTTAAAGTTGAGAAGTCAATGGATAAATTCAACTTCTCCACTGGAGATATTATCTTGTTTGGGAATAGTGCCAGGATGAAAATTGATGAGGATCTCTCACAAATTTTTCTAGAACACAGAGCAAAGAGGCTTTTACAAAAATGCTTCATGCATATCACAGGTTGGAAGCATACTGTAGGAGCAATGATAGATCTTCTTGAGAATGCAGGGTCCCAATACGAATGTTATGTAGTCGAAGTAATGAAAGAAAATGATAAAAAAGATTTTGCAAAAGTTGAAACATTCAATGAATTTGTCCTAAAACGTTATCGTCATCTTGCTAATAAATTGGAGGAGTGTGTTGAAGTTATCTGCAAGGATCTTCCTAGTAGTTTCGTACCTTGGATGGTTTTCAAATACATGAATATATGTGTAGACTTGTTGAAAATATTTAGAAATTTTTTGATATCAGCAAGTGTTTCTGATGAAGATCTTGGAGAGTTGTTTCAATCTACAGTTGAGGAAACCAATGAGTTGTTACTCTTTGTTGATTCAAGCAGATGCTTCGAAGAACATCTTTCCATCAAAGCTAAATTGAGAAAATGCAGAACTTTTTTGTTGCAACTAGTCAGGAAACTATCTAGAGACTTTAATCTTCCTAATATTTCTGATTCTGCCTCTGTGCAAGACTTTTGCTTGAAGAATGCGACAGTTATTTTCTGCACAGCATCTAGTTCCTTCAGTCTACATAATATTGAAATGCTGAAACCACTGAAGTTTTTGATTGTTGATGAGGCTGCACAGCTTAAGGAATGTGAATCCCTTATTCCCCTACAAATTTCAGGTATAGAGAATGTTGTTTTAATTGGAGACGAGTTTCAGTTACCAGCCATGGTCAAAAGCCAGGTTATGATTTTTCTAAGCATATACAATGTCTATCTTTCGGTCAAAAAAACATATATTTATTCTAAATTGTATTCCTCTCTCTCTCTCTCTTTCTCTCTCTCCAGATTTCGGAGATGGCTGGTTATGGGAGAAGCCTGTTTGAAAGATTGAGCTCATTAGGTCAAGAAAAAAATCTTCTCAACATCCAATATAGGATGCATCCATCTATAAGCAAATTTCCAAATTCCAACTTTTATGAAAATAGGATTTCTGACGGAGAAAATGTCTTAGTTACAAGCTATCTGAGACAATACCTATCAGGGCCACTTTATGGTCCTTATTCATTTATAAACATTGAACGTGGCAAGGAGGGAACAGATAAGCATGGAAGAAGTAAAAAAAATATGATAGAAGCAGCAGTTGCCGCACAAATTGTAGAAAAACTCTTCAAAGGTATGATAGTTTTCTTCTAAATTGCAATGATTGTATTATAATGATTTTACTATAAAGTACTTAAATTTTATAAATCTTGCCTGTTATACGGCTGTAGTGCTGCTTTATTTATATATTAGCCCATGTGGTTATTTCAGTCAGTTTAATTTGGCCATTGTCATTCTTGATTTATCTACAATTTAATAGCTTCAACTGTGATGTAACCTTATTTTTCAATGTACGTTAGATGAATTATTGGTTCATGTGTTTGCGATAGCTAGCACTCCTTTATTCTAACATTATATCTAATTGTCTCTGCAATCTATGCTAGATCATGGCTCTCTGAATTGCTAATGGTAAATTGGTAGCTATCGCGGCCACCAAGAAACTTAAGATGACTATGCTGCCTATAACTTTTATAAACAACTCCAATGTAATGCATGACCTTCCCAAAAAGTATTTACTTGAAAGTTAGAGCGTACTTACCTTCATCAATCTCGAATAAAACTTTATCCTCACACAGTTATTTTCTGTCAAAAGCTAGTAAAAGAGAACTAATGATGCTTTTTTTTGTTGGTGTTTCTGACAGCCACAGAACGTACAAATCAGAAACTTAGTGTTGGTGTAGTGTCACCATACACTGCACAGGTGTTTGCAATCAATGAAAAAGTAGGAAAGAAGCATGATTTATCAAATTACTTCTCGGTGAAAGTTAGATCCATAGATGGTTTTCAAGGTAGTGAGGAGGATATTATTATTTTCTCTACAGTAAGATCTAATAAAACGGGTTCACTAGGCTTTCTTACAAATGTTCAGAGGACAAATGTGGCACTCTAGATCATGGCTTTCTGAATTGCTAATGATATAATCCTGCATTTTTTGAAAATCCTATTGAGTTAGTTGCATAATCTTTCGCCTGTCTTCTTGAATGAATGCTTTCATTTTTTTTTTCATGTTTCGTCTTAGTTATTTGTAACTTCGTATATGTAAACCCTATTGTATTTATGAGCTATACGCTAGGATTAGAAATATGTATTAGAATCTATATACTATATTCTATCGATATAATAATAACCTTTTGTCCCTATAATAATAACATTATAGTTTAATTAAATTCACAAATTCAGTCCTATGATATGAAGCACATATATAAGATCATAGAAAAATTGTGACAGGACTTGATGATCAAAACAACACAACAATATAAAAAAATAGCAATTTACTCCAAATAGATCCAGAAATAATACAAAGAGCAGTTTATTAATTTCCAAATAAAATAAGACAAGATACAAGTTGATTCACTGTTTGAGAGGTGAATCGTCTCTCTCAGAATTCCTAGCAACTAATAGGAACCCAAACACCTCCAGAAATTGCTGCAGAAATTCAAAACATAACCTAAAAAATCGCAACCCACCATAATCTACCCCCTTAAGCAGCTCAAATCTCATAATAAATGCCCCCTACATCTAATAAATACCCCTTACATCTTTCCTAAGGAGTCCCCCCTTTCCCAAAGAGTTTCCTCCCAAAACCTCTTCTCCTATAGGTGATAAAAGAGGTCCTAAACCCCACCTGGGCAGCTAGACTACTGCATCCAACTACATCAAATTGCAAGAATGAAGTTTAGTGTTTTCAGGATAGTAGAGAAGGAACTTAATCCTAGAGTAAATACCATACAGTAACCCAAAGATTAAAAAAAAAGAAGACTATGCAACTATACATTTGACACTTAAATGCATAATGAAATGGGTTTTAAGTCAACTTGGATCATAAATAATCTTTATTGAGGCTTTTCATATGCCACATTGTTGACCTATACATTGAGAAATGCTCAAAAAGAGACGAAATCTCTAAGTAATGCCTTTTTCAGAGCCCACACTTATCTTCAACATAATTTCATTTATATGAAAGCAAATTACAGCTGATCCACAAAATCAGATGTCCCAATAAAAACACTTCTTTAAATAGATAAAATAAAATTGGCAGCTATCGCGGCCACCAAGAAACTTAAGATAACTTTGTAGCCTATAGCTTTTATAAACAACTCCAATGTAATGTATGACCTTCCCAAAAAGTATTCACTTGAAAATGCATAGAGTTAGAGCGTACGTACTTACCTTCATCAATCTCGAATAAAACTTTATTGTCACACAGTTATTTTCTGTCAAAAGCTAGTAAAAGAGAACTAATGATGCCTTTTTTTGTTGTTGTTTCCGACAGCATCAGAACGTACAAATCAGAAACTTAGTGTTGGTGTAGTGTCACCATACACTGCACAGGTGTTTGCAATCAATGAAAAAGTAGGAAAGAAGTATGATTTATCAAATTACTTCTCGGTGAAAGTTAGATCCATAGATGGTTTTCAAGGTAGTGAGGAGGATATAATTATTTTCTCTACAGTAAGATCTAATAAACGGGTTCACTAGGCTTTCTCACAAATGTTCAGAGGACAAATGTGGCACTTACAAGAGCTAAGTATGTTTACTTTTTACCAATCAGTTTTTCCATTAGACGAACATATTTAAATAAACAATAGCAAATTAGCTATGCATTTAACTTTAAATGACAGACATTGCTTGTGGATTTTGGGAAATGAGGCAACTTTAAGCAGAAATGAAAACATCTGGTCAGAGCTAATCTGTGATGCAAAGAAACGAAGCTGCTTCCACAATGCAGATAAAGATAGTGATCTCTCGGAAACTATTTTTAAAGCATGCATCGAGTCTGATGAGCTTGACAACTTGTTGAATATGGATTCACTACAAATAAGCAAGACTAAGGTATGTTAATTAAGTCGAAAACTCTATTTTTCTTTTTTGGTAGTCACAATGTTTTTCATTTTGAGCTGCTAGAAAATAAGCTCCTATCTTCCACCAATTTTGGAAGTATGTACTTGGATTGGTGATTATATGTCATCCTCAACTGTGATTTAAAAGTCGAATTCTACTGATTGAAAACTCCAGCAAATGCAGGGGCAAGGTTGTGTACATCAACCCCTACTATAATCTAGAGTTGGTGAGAATTTCATTCAATGGGTTATCCCTCTAAGGATTTTTCCATCCCCCTAGTAGTAGTCTTGTATAGTATATAATTTTTTTATACATGTTTCTCTTCTTTATTTTCGCTTCTTTAACTATCCTTTAAATTTGGATGTATTTTTTTCTTTAAAATTCATGGAGCAAGGGAACTTTAACGAATATATAAGAACCTGTTGTCACGGATTAATTAATTTAAGCCTGTTTTTAATATTCCACTACTCAAGTTCAAGTCATTATAACAGTGACTAAATCTCATCAGAATAGAGCCATCTTTGCATTGAAAACTACATATTTTACACTTAAAAATGCCATTGAAAGAGAAGATGATATTGATCTAGTAAAAATATCAATGAAATCAGGAAGTTTTATAACCTATGGCAATGAAATGTGAAATTGTTCTCTTAGTAATTCTTAATACTAACCTTTTCTTTTTGCCATGGCACCAGAGATTTGATCGCCCTTCCAGTTCAAATTTGCGCCAAGGGTTTGCTCGAGGAAAGTTGAAGGAGAAGAGTCGTTTTTTCTGAAGGACCAGAAGTTTCTATTTATCATCCGCTTCCATTGAGAAAAAAATAGACTTAGTATTATCATTTTGTGCTTATAATCAAAACTCAAAACTAGTATATGGCATGTGAAAATGATTTTTGGTACATGTACGAAGTGAAACGTGCTCTTAATTACATGAGCATCTTCTAATAGATTGATTCAGCGTAACTTGGATGATTAAAAAGACAAAAACAAAACACTTAGCTGTGCTTACAATGGTTTATGCAGTTTCAATTAATGTTTAGATATTTTTTTTTTAACACTATTGACACTTTATGGTAATAAATCTATCTCAGAAAAATTTTAATCAAAATTGGATTAAATTGGAGAGAACATTATAACAAGCCTTTGTTGCGTTAGGGAGTGAATAAAAAGGCTCCAAGTTTGGTAGGATTTGATTATGGTCACCATTTTCAAACAAAAAACTTAAATATTAGGGTGAGATTTACTTACTATTTCTACATCAAAATATTTTTCACTACCCAATGTGGGTAGTTTGTGCATTATTTGTTTAAAACCAAAAACCAAACAGAAAAAAATTTATTTAGTTGGTTCGATTTGATTGTTAAAATATTAGTTCAAATAATTATTCTTAATTTTCATCAGAATATACATAAGAACATTTATATCATACAATTAATAATTGAATTGATTATCATTCATGTCATATTATTTTGTTATAGCAATTTTAGCTGCACAATGGCTCTTCCTTATCATGATTTGTATCATCATCTTAGTGTTTGTAGGCATCATGTTTATTTTGTATCATGGCACCTATTACCCATACTAACATATAATTATTCATTCCATGTACACCATATAGAAAACTCTTTGTATGTTCTCTTTGAATCTATTTGGACAAGTTGTTAGCTTGCTTTCTTAAGTAAAATCTTTAGATTCATCCAATTGTGAATCATTTTGTTTAGCCATCTTTTCATCATGACCATTCGCTTCAATCAATTATATAATTTATCACACACATGCATATATAATTTGTAGACATATGCAACATATTTTGCATAACTTGTGGTATGTATGCCCAAATGAATAACAAATCATAAGTAATTCATTTTTAGACCTAAAATATATAAATTCCTTCACATGCAATCATAATCATGAAATCAATCCATCAACATAAGAGGCTTCTTCAATCCAACAACATAAGAGGCTTCTTCACTTCACACAAAAAAAAAAAACTATATAATATAATGAACTAATTTATATGCTCATATCATAACACATTACTGGGTCACTAAATATTAAAAAAATACATGATTTTCATGATGAAATATTACAAAGAATCATTTTAGTTTTTATGCAATATTAATAATAATAAACATATAACATAAAACTCCATGAAGGAATTCTAACTAGTTCAACGAAGCCCAATCACCCTTACGGAGAGGTTTAGGGTTCGAATGGTCGAACCCTAAACCTATCCTTCTTTCGGCTCGTTGTCTGGTCCGATTTTCACTACCTTGCTTATAACTCCAACCATATATTATGCTATATACAATGTATATTTACTACATTGAGCCAGGGGCGGAACCAGCCTTATTTTTCAAAAGGGGTAAACTTATAAATAACTATTGGGGGTGCAAGGGAGAAGCGCCCCCTGGCGGGGTTCGACCTGCGGGGTCAAGGGGCAGCGCCCCTGCGAGGGTTTCCGGGGGCAGCTCCCCTAGAACAAATTTTGGTTGTAAGTATATTTTTGAAATTCAAATTAATAAATAAAATAATGAAATGCTCTTTACTATTTGTTGGGGACAATTGCTTAAATATCATAATATTTTAAAAGTTTTAGGGGAGGACAATTGCCTAAAAACCCTTGTAAAAAAGACTAAAATACCTAAAGAACTATATAATAAATATTTTTTTTATTTTTCTACGGGGGCAATTTCCCCCCATACCCTAATGGGGTTTCGCCCCTACATTGAGCTAACACCTTCCCCCAAGGAAGGACATCAATTGTAATCAACAACAAATACTAATAAAAACATTTTAATTGAACCAAAACCCCGTTGTTTTTCTTTTTTTAGAATTTTTCACATAAAAATTATAATTTCTTTTTATAACTTTTGCATCGCTCTTTTATTTGTTTGTGTGTTGGATTTTCGAACAGGTAGAATACTAAACTTCATATCTCTTTGTTGCCACGAATATTTCAGCACGTAAAAAGTTCATTATTTGTTCTAATCTTGCATGTTTTATTATTTCATTTCATTACATTTTTGTTCTAAAATGTCATTTGATGTTATGTTCCATGAAAGTCCATTCAAATTTAATTTCAATATCATCCCTACCTCTTTCCAGCATATAAAGCATTTATAGGGTTCGGGGCCAAATTATAAAAAAGAGCAGATTTTCAATGAAAATAATTATAAGACGTGGATGTATAAATAAAGTTAGGAAAGAGCCAACACAAGGAACAAAAGGCCGAATTCAAAAATCGAAACTTAATTATCCTGTTCAATTGAAACCAGAACTTAACTATCCAATTTCAATAGAAATCGATACTTCATTATCTGGTTTCTATTGAAACCCGAACTTAATTATCCGGTTTCAACATAAATCGGAATTCCATTATCCACTTCAATAGAAATCAGAGTTCCATTCTCTAGTTTCAATAGAAACCGGATTTTAATTCCTCGTTTTATTAAAAATTGGGTTTTAATTCTCCGGTTTCTATAAGGCGAATTATTTAAATTTATTCGCTCATAAACCGTTTTTTAATTGTATTTAAATTAGATTTAAAATATCATCTCACTTATTTTTTTTAATTTTGTTTTGTCTTTTACATACAAATTATATTATTCTTATATTTAAAAAACATTTAATTATTGAGAATATTTTTTTTTTATTTACCACTTCATTATTAATAAGAATATTTTAAACGAATTAGCTGTTGATAAATTTTTAACTTAAGCTTAAAATTAATAATAATTATTTTTGTTTACTATATGAGTAATAATTTATTTTGACAAAATTTAAAGTACATTATTTTTAAATTTGGTTTTATTTTTAAATTTAGTTAAAATAAAAAATTTGTAAATTCATTTATGTATAATTTGTACTAAGTATGTATATAATTTGTTATATATTTATATAAATTATTACAACATGATTTAAATTGTACATTATGGGCATTACACTATATTACATTTATGTCAAAATAATATATTCATTAAACAGTAATGAATAGATGATGACAATAAATATGTAAGTATTTAATTTGTAACAGTTAATCATCCATTCCTAATATGATAGCTCTGTAAAAAACAATTAATGTGTAGTTGGTGTGAACATTATATTTCTCTGTCCAAAAATCATGCATTCATAGCATAAAATCCTTATAACGCTTCATTTAATGTGCATTAGCATGCCATATAGCTTGTAATAGCCTATCTCATCAGATGACTTGTAAAGTTGTAAGGTCCAATAAAGTCCTATTGTAATTTTTGGTTGCAAGTGATGGTAAGATATGTTTACTCTCTGCTATTTAAATAGTGCATAGACATATGAAGTATATTTATGAAGATTAATATACTACATGAATACATTATGATCTAAATTCTCGTAGAACTCTCTCTAGAAGGTTCATAGCAACCAGCGTAGTGGCATCATCGAGTTGATCTATGAATTTCCCATACCAAAAGTAATACAATATAATGTCAGTAAAAACCATCAAGCTCATACAATTGTTGGAATTTAATAAAATTGCAACTCAATAAAATGCCTAAATTAATGACAGAACAAAATCAATATGTGATTCTAATAAATTTTTTGTGCAAAAGAGTTAAGATTACAGATGAATGGGGCATGCGATTTGTAATTATTAAAATTTTTAGATCTTTGCATCATGAGTTACAAAGATTCGACAACAACAACTACAAACTTTTTGCCAATCGGTGCAGAATTTGACCCCAGTGATGTCACTGAGTGTAAAAGATAATCTACAATCTAAGAATTATTTTCAATCTGGAGAGGCTATCTAGCTAATGCAAGAGCTATGGAAAATGATTCCACTAAAATAGCAATTGTTAATACTTGACCTCAGTGTAAAATTAAATATGCTGAGCATGAACAATGAAATCCTAGCTATCCAAGTTCACATTATAGAGCACCTCATTTGTTCTTACGCCCATATCATTTAAGGAGTTGAAAAAAAAAAGAGAGAGAACATCCGCAGTTCTCCCATGCTTACATAAGGCATTTATTAGAATTGAGTATATATGCATTGATTAAGAACTATGCCACTAAATCCAATCAATTTAATATGTATATCCCTGATATTACAATACCTATCAATCTACTGGACTACAAGTTTAGTTGGAATTCAACTATATCCTATACCTATCTACTTTTGCTTTGAATTTCTGCTAAATTATAATTCTTTAGTGTATGGAGGAAAAGCTTGGCTTCTTTGATACAAATGTTTATCTATCCAAAGCTGAAAGGAATACAAAGACCAACTTTTGATGCATTTCTAAATGAACTTCTAAAGAGAAGAGGTGTATATTTCGAATTTTTGTGAAGCTACAGGTACCATTAGATGGGAATAAAATTATTATGAGAATGAGGAGGTTTTTGGAAGCAGGATGTTCTTCGGCATGATCAAACCCTTGCCGACAATCATTTGCTATTCCGATCGCAGCCGAGGTCTGAACCCGGTTCGCTGTCCGCCTCCTACAGGACTCCAACCCCTGCCGGCGGTCTTCCAAACGCGAACAAAGCCTCGACCTGACCGTCCATCGCCGGCGAACTCTACCCGCTCGTCCGTCGCCGGCGAACTCGACTCACACGAGAGCCACGTCTTCGACTTCGACTCTCTTCCCCACTCGTAAACAGAGTCTCGCCTCCGATCGGCTCTCTTGGACACCTCAAATATTTGGCCTCTCAAATCTCACAAGAAGCCAAAGTCTCACACCAAGCTTATATATAATTATTATTATTATTTAATCCTTCTTCTGATATATATATACACCATTGCAATCAGCAAACGTTAAAGAAAGCCCCCCATGAATCTTCGGCCGTCGATCTGATCCTGTGGAGTGAATCTAAGATTGAAAATTATTTTTTTGCCCCTCCTAAAAAATTTTTTTGTCCTCTTTTGTCCTAACTTGCCCTAAAATATTTATATATTTCTTCACATTTAGTTCTAATATTCTCTTTCATGCTTTTAATAATAATTTAATTACACATTTTTTCTTTATTTTTCTTGCTTAATTTTTTAAAAAACTTTTCGTAATGTATAGATATATAATATTATTATTTTAATATTTAATTATTTTTGTGCAGTAGTTTTGCCCCTCCTCAAAATTAAAGTCGGTTCCGCCCCGACTCGGGATCGATTCGCTCTCCTAAATTCCGCGGTGTTGATTCGCTCTCTCAAACTCCTCGGTGTTGATTCACTGAATCTAGCCAAAAGGACAACTGCCTCCCGTTACCTCCCCTCGCGGGGAGGGGATGCCGAAATGCTATTGAAATTTTTTTGAAAATTTTTGGACTTGGGTAAATTTTGAAAAAATATAATTTAATTTGAAACGAATTAATTAATAACCTACTAATCCAACAATCTTAACTAAGATTGAAATTGCATCTAATATAATTGTAATCATTAACTTAAATTAAATAAATTTCAACTGAAATATTAACCTAATTAATTAACTAATTGATTTAAAAAAATTAAAACAGCCATTAAAAAAACAAACAAATAAACAGATACTTAAAAATAATATTAACTTTAAGTTCATTAATATCTGATTAAATAAAACAGCCAATTAAAATCTATTTTTAATTATAACTTAAAATCCATTTAAATTTTTAAGCAATTAATTTTGAAAAAAAAATCAATCAACAGCTGTGATTTAAATTCAATAAAATTGGAATTTTGAAATTTATTTTAAACTTAAATTAACTCAATTGAAATGATAACCTTTTAAAATTATAACAGCAACGATTAATTAAGTAATAATTTGATATCATTTAGTTGATACTCAATTAAAACCTAAAAGATCTCAATTAATTTCAAAACTTTTATTTAGAAGTTCAATTTAATCAGAAATTTTAATCACAACTTTATCAAATTCAAATCAATTAAGTTCTTAATAATAACATTAAAATGTTAATTCATATTAAACTTTTAACACACTTTCATTTAAACTTAAAATTCAACTTTCAAATGATTAACTCATGCAATCAATTTAAAAAAAAAAAACATTTTTTTAATTAAGAGAGTCGAGCAAGTTATTAACTTAATTTCAATTAAAATTCATTTAATTAATTAATGCTAGAAAAATAAAGAAATAAAATGTTTCTACTATCCAACCTATGTACAAACTAATCATTTGGCAGCTCTCCAAAGGGCTACAGAATCTCAAACATCGGGCAGCTCTCGAACTGACAACTCTCCAAATAACACAAAGCAAACTAACACTAAACAACTCTCCAACAAAACTCTCTCAAACAAACAACCCAAACTCTATTTGATTCCCAACATCAACTTTTGTAGCTACCTGAGAGTTCTCTTATCAACTGGTTACAAACACCTGCAAACAAATAAATGAATTTTAGTGCAATTTATAAATTAAATTAATGCTAAAAAAAGAATAAATCTAGCTACAGTAAGTAGAGCCACAAAGATACAAGATACTAACACTGGTGTCAAGGGAGTAGTAAAGTGTCTAAAGCTAAGCCCTTGCTAAAATAAATCCTATAGGTTACTTCTAACATGAGTGGTAAATCATATAGGTAATTCATTCACTAAATATATATTTATTAAATGAAACAGTAAATTCATAAAATTCCTCTTGCTACTTTTAATGAAAACTGTAAGTTCAACCTTTAAGGGTAATAGGTAGGAAATAATATAACCCTAGACCCCTCTTTGGGCATCTTAGCATACATTATAACTAAATTGTATGACTCGTCATTTGAGCTACTTCTGAATGAAGCAGTAAGACCCGCGTATTAGGAAACTTCTAAATGAACGACCATAGATCCATAACTCAAATCACTTGGGCAGACTGTTTTATAAGAATTAGGTTGTAAGACCCACCACTCGACTATTTTCAATAAAAATCGTAAGTCCCGACTTTAGGAGAAATCTTTAGGTAAAAATAACCCAACCATTAATCACTGATACACCTCCAAATCCGACCACTTCTAATAGAAGTCATAAGTCTGACCATTGAGAAAAATGTTTAGGATATAACATAACCCTAGATCCCTCACCCGGGCATTCTAATTTATAAGGCCAGGTTGTAAGACCCACCATTCGGGCAACTTAGCTTACATGAATATGTAGTAATATATGTCGTTAGGCAACTTCTAAGGAAGCCATAAGATCTACCAACCAAAATCTTCGGGCTACTTCTAAGTAAGCCATAAGACCTACTTATACTCAAAAATCTTTGAGCCACCTCTAGTAGAGGCTGTAAGACCCACTATTATGGCTGCTTTCAAATGAAATCCATAAGCCCCCTACCCAAATCTAATCACACGGGCGACTCCTATTTGAAACCATAAGCCCTAAACTAAACAAATTAACGGACAACTTCTAAGAAATTCATAAGCCCCAACCCAAAAATTTAACTAAATTAAAACCCACACATCTTCACTTTCAATATACTCGGGATCCCTGTGAGGAGACAACCCATGGCTGCTAATCAGATTCTTTGACACTACAATCAATGGTTATTAGTGTTGGTAGACTGAAACCCAAGGCATACTCAGGATGATGTAACCATGAGATATTGATTCTTGAAGTTAAGTATATTTCATCCTTAATTGAGAATGCACTTCTAATACTTAAGAGGGATAATTAATTATGAAAACTTGCGCTCATAGGAAGTAGAACCCAGATCTAAATAAACCCTGCCACTATTCTCAGGGGAAATCTGATTAAATATAAAACTCAATATACCTCAAGGAAAATTAAAGGGAATCCTAAGTTCGTGAGAGCAGGGTTCACATTTTAATTTCAAAAATTCCAGAGCGAATAACAATACAATGTAACATTAGATATTTGCAATGTGCCTGCAACACACAATACAATATATATATATGGATGAATGCTAAAATTGCATAGAAAGAGAAAATGAAACATATATACAAGCTACTAAGAGTGAAGAACACTATCACATTCTTCCTTTACTAAACTACAAAAGGAAGAAGGAAGTTCACTCTCACAAAACAAATCCCAAATAAAATCAAAAGAAAAAGCTAAGTTAGCACAATAATCTGCTAACATATTACAATTGCGATTAACCCAATGAAAAATCACATTATTGATGATAACTCATATATGATGATGAGAACTTAGACTTATGTCGCGTCTATGTAGTTGTTCAATTTGAACATAAATAATTAAAATATGCATTTGATATAACAATAGAAATTATAACTTCATCCACCGGGATCTGTAGAATCAGAGTGTAATTCTCCATATTGTATTACACTTTTTTTTTTTCTGTGTTTGATTATAAACTGTTATTTTGTGATATTTAAATTAGATTTATACTATTCTGTTTATCTTAAATTTTTATAAGAATATGTACATTTGAGATTTCAATTTGTTTTTATATATCAAAATTCATGCTTTATTGATAAAAAGTATAATTTCTCATATGAATTTTAATAATATATTAAAATATACAATGAATTTTGCTCAAGTGAACTTTTTTCATTGTCTATTGAGCATATGATGATCTAAAAAAAAATGAAGGAAAAAAAAAAGAGAATTAATTTAATGAATATTTTCAAAATTTTAAATGAAAATTAAATTGGACTTGGCTTTTTACAAAGAAATCAAATTTAATAACTAATAGATTCAGTAATTGGGGACATAATTATGTAATAATAATCATCCAACTCATGTTAATGACAACAAATATTATTTTTAAATCAAAATGATTTATAAAAAAAAAACTAAATAAAGGAGTGAAAAGAGATAGAGAGACATAAAATTAGAGAAATGTTATTATTCTTTATAAAAATAGAGTTTATTTTGTTATATCTTACATTATCTATTTATACATTTAAGAATTGAATTTAAAAAAAAATGATTTAGGAGTTAATCATTTGAGTGATTAATTATTGTATATGAATGTAATTATATATTAATTTTGCATATTAAAAATAAATGTTATATATGTAATTATTCCAAAATTAGAATTTACATTTGGGCCTTCTTTAAAATAAATTAAAATTGTAAATGATAATTCATACATTCAATTAAAGAAACAAATAAAATAAATAAGATGAAAAAAATATGAAAATAACTTAAAGTTAAAAACTACATATGTGGCATATATCAAAAGAAATAACTTTCATTAGTAGTATAAAAATAATATATAATATTTTTATCAAATAATATATAATTAAAAAATTTATAAAATTAATTTTTATTTTTAAAATTTTATTTTATAAATTTAATGTAAGTATAATAAAACTAGTATATATATAATTGTTTTGTAAATCCTCTAACAAATATCATTGATCAGCCTTTTTAAGTTAAAATTTTCAAATCTATGTATCGTTTATCGTCATGGAAAGAGATATTTAAGTAAAGCGCAAACCAGCTCCCAAGACGACTCCTCGTTAACCTTCTCCGGCGAATGAGCCAACAGGTATGATTAGTTGCATGAGAGCCATGAATGCATCGATCGCTTAGTTCTCCACACCAAATTTCAAGTGTTCGGGCAATCACCGAAAGTGACGAGACCCTTGAGCTCCTTTCTCAGTTAGTGCGGAACATTACACTTTATCTTCTTTGATCTCTTCTCTTCTTTACACATCAAAGTTATACTGCTGTGTATCACCGGCTTTCTATTTGCTTTCCTCTTTCAATTCTTCTGAACTGAAGTGCGAGAAAGAATATGATCAGCAATGGGAGTGCTGATGGCGATAATGATTTTCTGGAGAAGCGGAGGCCGAAGGATGAGAATGAGAAGCAGTCCAGCCTTGTTCAGATCGTGTTCTCGTGGTCTCTTAGCGATATTTTTAATTGCGATCTCTTTAAGGGCAAGGTTAACTATATATCTTCCTTAATCAATTGCTTTCTGTATCAGTACTTTTGATTGAAATTACCACTCTTTACACTTCTTATTTTCAAATGCTTGCAATGCTTGATCTGCAGTTTAGTTTCCAGATATGGAAGATAATTTTATATCTTATGTATTCATGAAAACTATTATCTTATAGCTTGAATTCAATTTAAATTCAAATATGATATTGAGTTGCTCTCATGAGATTTGTTATTTATATTCAAGACCTTCATGTCACAATTAAATTATCGTTATAGTAATATTCATATTAAGTTACAAAACTGAATGTTCATATGTTACAACTTTGGTTTTGTTTGGTATAATTTTTTTATTGTTTTATAAAGCAGTTTTTTAGTATAAGAATTTTTTGTTTAAAAATTTTTTGTGCTAAAAAACTACTTTAAAAAACAGTAAAGATGCTAGTGTAGCGTCCATACCAGATTAAGTTCTGGCTATAAACCATTTTAGGAGCTGGAGCACTTTAAAAACATTAATAATTTGCCATAAACTTGAAAATTTTCTACTAATGACCACTTTAATTGCTTTCCCTTGAGAAAAAAAAATAAAAAAGAAGGTTATGTGGTAGCAGTATTGAGCCAAAATCAGCCAAATAATTTCTTGAAACTTGCTTAAATACTGGATTTCATAAACACAAAGTTTGAACATAGCAAGACTCAATAAATCTAAGGTCAAGCTCTTAAAGATTTAATACTTCACATACAAAAATTCTTCAGGACTTCAACACTTCTAAGCTTTACTAAATCTGACTTTATGGGATTCAATAAATTCTACTCGACTTAAATCCTATTTGCTATCAAACTTTAAAAGAGCTTTATAATCTTATTATAATTAAAAGGAACCTCTGCTACTATGTATTATTACTTACTGTTATGTATAAAGTATTTGCAGATTATTTTATGCAAGGTAATGATACATGAGCTTTATGCACGTAACAATTCATCAATTAGTTGATAAAGTTCAGCCATCAGTTTTTGTCTATATTTTTTCCTTTTCTTCAAAATGTCAGCATGTATAGATATCATTACACTACTTAATGATCAACTTGAAAACAAAATATTTATAATTTCTGCAGGTACAGAAGATACCTGAAACTTTTACATCCTTGGAGCATTATTTTGGTTCCTTCAGCACACCATTAATAGAAGAAACTCATGAAGATCTACGCTCGAGTTTGGAGACATTTTCTGATGCAACAGCACATGTTGAATTACAATATATACAGATGCAAAAATCAAAGAAGTTATTTTACCGAATTAAAATAAAAAATGCAAATGTTGAAAATGGTTTTTATCAGCCTATGAATGGAGACATTTTTGTGCTCACAAGAACAAAACCAAGAGATTTATCTGATTTAACACGCAATGCAACTTCATACATCACAGGCTATGTTGATGATAGTTTGGACTTCCATGAATATATTGTTGAGCTATCACGCAAGCTGGAGATTAGATCAAACAGAGAATCATTTTTCATTGCTTTCCTTTTGAATATGACGACTTCGATTAGGATCTGGGACTCATTGAATCTGAAGGTGGCAAAGGAAAGAAATCTGAGCATCATCAACGAAATAGTATCATATATTTCCTCGGTATGCTACAGAACTTATTACTTCTCTATTTTAATTTGGCACTAATACATAATAATAATAATAATTAACATCATCTTTAGTCTGATCCAACTATTTAGGATAAATTGTATAAATCCCCATTATTAAATTTTGATCTCGCTAACTTTTGCATAGCTATTGAGCATATTTTCTGTAAAATTTTCTATTAAATCATTTTGACTAAATTATATTCATAATATTTAAGTTTATTAATTTTCCTTCTTAATTAACTGTCTATATCAATTTTATCTTTTACATATGAGTGTTGCAGAGATGAGGATGTTAAGGTGATGTGGAACAATCATGGGAAGATGAGATGCTTAAAGACATTTGCACATTTAGTTTTAGAGAACAATAATAAGCAAGATCTCATGTTGGTTTGAACGATAAAATAAAATATTAAAGTGATAAATAGCGTTGGTTAAATTACGTGCATAGAAGATAAGAGTATAAAAATCAATCAATTTAATCCACTTTTTCATTCGTGAATGGTCTCAACCATAAATCCCTTCGTTAACATTAAGACTAGCTACTACAAGGAACCCTTCACTCGACTCTTCCTATTACTAGGCTTTAGCGGAGGGACCAACAACATCTTTGTGAATCAAAATATAACCACGTTGGAGAAATAAACTAAGAGGTTAAAAGAGTCGGATGTCGAGTTTACCCAAAGATAAGAGAGATGCACATTCTGACAAGATCGTTTGAATGCTGGGGAAGATGTGGGCAGCAACCAAGAGCTTTCCCGCAGCATGGAACAGCCGGGAAGTGGTTGCAAAAATTTCGATCCATGTAATCTTCAATGGGGGCGTCGATCTCTATGTTGACGTCACGAAAGACGATCTCAAAACGTCCACACGTCTTTGGGAATCAAAGACTAATCTCTGAACAATATTCAGATTGGCCATGCATAGTTGTATCGGAGAAAATGTAGAGAGGGGGAGGAGGGGATCGACCAAGCTAAGTGGAGGAGAAAAATAAAATATGAAATTAATTTCAGATTTAACGAATAATTAGAGATTAATCTCCTCTGAAATTTGAATTTGAAATTAGTGGAGATTAGGAGGAAAAGTGGGGAGGGGATTGAATTAATTAGATCCTTAATTTATGGGACCTAATTAATTAAAAGGGGGAGCTTAGGTGGCCGGCCAAAGAGGGAGAGAGGGAGGGGAGTTTAAATCAAAAACCTGAAATTAATTTCAGTTTTGAGTGAATTTGGAGGGAGACTAATTTGAAATTGGATTTAAATTTCAAATGAGGTTATAAGGAGTTAATGGGCAATCAATGGGGGCCCACTAATAGCGGTCGATGGCTTAGAGAGAGGGAGAGGGAGGTTATGAAATTTGGAATCCAAATCAATTGCAATTAATACATTGAATTAGCATTAATTGGCTTCCACCCTAGCATGGCCGGCGGCATCAAGGAGAGGGAGAGGATTGTGGAGAGAATTTAGGGAATTTTCGAAGGAGCAAAAAAAGGAATTAGGAAAATTATTATAACCTCCAATTTGTTTGAAATTTAAATTGAAGTCATGAATAAAACTTTCCTAAATAGGAATTTCCAAAATTGTAAAGTTTTGAAATTCAAAATTTGAATTTCAAATTGACTCCAATTTTCCCTCTCAAGCCCAACTAAATTTGGAAGATAGCATGATGATTGAGATCATCATCACAACGGAAAAGGGGGCTTGGTGGGGGTGGAGGCAAGAGGAAGATGTGGGTTTGGCTTTGGGAGGTGGCTAGGAGCAAGGCCGGCGGGTGGAATTGTGGAGGGGGAATTTGGTGGGGATCAAGGAGTAGTTTGGTGGCGGAATGAAAGTGGAGGGAATTCGATGCCAAAAAAATAAAAGAAAAATAAAGATAAGAAAACCGTGAACCTTGGAATCCATCAAGATTGACGGGTATTGCTTTTGCCTCACTTAGGCCTCTCCTCTTACGAACTCACTAAGAGATCGTCCAAAGAGAGAAAACTTAGAACTTACAAAGAGATTCATAAGCACAAGCTGAAAATTTCATATTAATCATCATTAGCCATTCTTCAAGAAGAGGAGGGATTTAAATAGACAAATACAAGAAAGGAAAAATAAAAGACAACAATACCTTCGGGTCTTACAAAGAACTAATCCCTTAAGCAAGGGCATAAATGAAAAAAAGACAGAAAATAAATAAATACATCACATATAATTAAAATAAAAAAAGCCGTCGATCATCGGCCACGTCCCTGATGGAACATTAAGGGTCTGATGTCTGCATCATAAGGTGGATGAGTGGATTCATTCCTACAGACATAATGTAAAACGAATATATACATGAAAAGGTTGAAGTAGCTCGAGTGAAAAATAAGATTAGAAAGAGTCGTCTTAGATTCTTTGGCCTTCTAAAGATCCCATTCGGAGAATAGGTGTATTAGATTTGACCTATGTCAAAAAAGGTAGAGAGATAGACCTAAAAAGACTTGGTTAGAAAAATTAAAAATGACATTTTTTATTAGATTTAAATAAAAATTTGACTATTAACATGACACACTCGAGAAAAAGGATTCATATAGCTGACCCCACGTAGCAGGATAAATGTTTGATGTTGTTGTTATTGTTGTAGTATATAATGAGTGCATTTATAATCATGTGATGAACATGTCCAAACCACCAAAATTTAATTTTCACTACCTTATATTCAAGAGAGGTTGCATCTATCATCCATTTGATATGCTCATTCTTCATTATTTCTAATTTAATCACATGCTGAATAGCATTATCTTTTCTGCCAACAACTTCTCTATCAGTAGCTTTTTTTTTTGCCTAATCCTAGAATTCATTTAAGAGAGCTGGTCCTATTATAGTTTTATAAATTTAATCTTTAAATCATAATCAGGCTTTTGTTTTTCTGGTAACAGGTTAGAAAGGAAAGTTCCTCTCCACCCAGTTCACCTAAATTGTTTCTTAATGCATGCGTGAGCGACAATCTAGAGAGATTCAATCTAAATGATTCACAGAAATATGCTGTGCAAGATTGTCTGTCAATGAGGCAGAAGAATCATAAAGAAGATCATATAAAGCTCATATGGGGTCCTCCAGGAACAGGGAAAACTAAAACTACAAGTACTTTAATACTTGCTCTTCTACAACTAGGATGTAGAACTCTTATATGTGCACCTACAAACACCGCTGTTGTTGAAGTTGCTTCTCGCTTCTATAAGCTGTTTAAATATGAAAAATTCATAGGAAAAACTAACTTCTCCATCGGAGACATTATCTTGTTTGGGAATAGCAACAGGATGAAAATTGATGATGATCTCTCAGAAATTTTTCTAGAACACAGAGCAAAGATTCTTCTTGAAAAGTGTTTCAACCCTGTAACAGGTTGGAGGCATCTTGTACGAACAATGATAGATTTTCTTGAGAATGCTGCATCCCAATATAAACAATATGTAGAGAATGAAATGAGAAAAAAGAATGAAAAGAAAAATGAAAATATAAAAGAAATTCTAACAGTTAAAACATTCAATGAATATGTCTTAATGCAGTATCATTGTCGTGCTAAGCAATTGGAAGAGTGTATTAAAGTTCTATGCAATGAACTTCCCAGGACATTCATACCTTATACAATTTTCAAAGACATGAATATAGCTATAGACTTGATGAAAGTATTTAAGAATGTTTTGATATCAGCAAGTGCTTCTCATGTAGATCTTAAAAACCTGTTTAAATCTGAAGTTGAGAAAGGCAAGGAGAAGCTACCTTGTGTTGATCCAATCATATACTTGGCTGGATACCTTTCCATTAGAGTTAGATTGAGAAAAGCCAAAACTTTCTTATGGCAGCTACTCAGGCACCTTTCTAGAGAGTTTAATCTACCTAAGGCCTACTATCAGGTCATTGTGGAAAAAATTTGCCTCAAGGAAGCAACACTTATTTTCTGCACAGCCTGTAGTTCTTTTAGGCTACAGAACATCCTAATGAGAAATCCACTAAAGTTTTTGATTGTTGATGAGGCTGCACAGCTCAAGGAATGTGAATCCCTGATCCCCTTACAGATTTCAGGCATAGAGAATGTAGTTTTAATTGGCGATGAGATTCAGTTACCAGCCATGGTCAAAAGCAAGGTATGATCTAAATACATAAAATGTCAATCTTTCTTGCAAAAATAACATATTTTCAGTTTAGATGATATTCAGTTCATACCCTCTTTCTTTCTATTTCTCTCTTATGCTCTCTTCAGATTTCGGAGATGGCTGGTTATGGGAGAAGCCTGTTTGAAAGATTAAGCTCATTAGGGCAAGAAAAAAATCTGCTTAACATCCAATATAGGATGCACCCATCCATCAGTTCATTTCCAAACTCCAACTTTTATGAAAACAAGATTTCAGATGGAGAAAATGTTCTAGTTCCAAACTATCAAAAACAATATCTATCAGGGCTACTTTATGGTCCATATTCATTTATAAACATTGGATGTGGCAAGGAGGTAACAGATAAAGATGGAAGAAGCAAAAAAAATCTTATAGAAGTTGAAGTTGTTGCGAAAATAGTAGAAAAACTTTTCAAAGGTATGTTGTTATCTTCTAGACTCTAGTGAAGCCATGATTTTACTGTCAAATACTACAATTTATACATATTTTCTATTCCACAGCTGTAGTGTCATATAGATAGTCAATGTGGTTGTCATTCAGTTTTATTTTGGCCACTATCATTCTCCATTTATCTGCAATTTGATGGCTTCAACTGTGACTAAGCCTTCTTTTTCAATGTATTTCTGATGCATTAATGGTTTGCGTATTTGGTTTAGCATCCATTCTTCTGCTTTTGATATTTATATCTAATTGTCACTAAGATCCATAGTTGATCATGACTTTCTTAATCAATAAATACCTAATGCTACATATGTTTGCGGATCCTTGTGCTGCATGAAGAGTCTTTTTTCATTTAATTTTATTTCTATTTTGTTATTTGTAACTTTGTATATCTATACCTTATTGCTTGTGAGCTAGAAAATTAGAAATATGTTAGGCCGGTCCAGCCTGGACCGGCCCAACCTGGACCGGCTCAGTCGGTCCGGGTCTTCTCCAGGAGGAAACGAAACAGGGGGGAGGCGGAAGAGGAAAAGGGCCAAGGGAGAGAGAGAGAGAGAGAGAGAGAGAGAGAGAGAGAGAGAGAGAGAGAGTGAGTGAGTGTGACATCAGTAGATTATAACATAAAAACATAAGGATAATTTCTCAAATTTCTAGAGATTAAATTGTTTTTCTTACATAGGCTACCATTAGATTATAACCTATAAACATTAAGGATAATTCCTCAAATTTCTAGAGATTAAATTGTTTTTTTACAGAGGCTTTTAGGCTGCATGTTCATCTTGATTTCATTAATGAAAATAAATTACTAGTGGCCAAGTAAATCAGATATGTTTGAATAAAAAAGTTTCTATAAATGGTTTGAAAAGATTAGTAATTATCACCAAACCTATGAAACTTTAGATAACCATGCAGCCTATAGCTCTTAAGAACAGCTCCAATGCAATGTACATCCTTGAAAAAAATATATTTTAAAAGCACAGAGTTAGAGTGTACTTCACCTCCATCCATAACTTATGAGACTTTACTTTTATATGATCTTTTTTTGTCATAAGTTGCTTAATGAGGATTAACTTGACTTTCTCTTGTTGTTTCCAACAGTATCAAAGCGCACAAATCAGAAACTTAGTGTTGGTGTATTGTCACCATACACTGCACAGGTGTTCGCCATCAATGAAAAAATAGGAAAAAAGTATGTTTTATCAAATTACTTCTCGGTGAAAGTTAGATCCATAGATGGTTTTCAAGGTAGTGAAGAGGATGTTATTATTTTCTCAACTGTAAGATCTAATAAAAGTGGATCACTAGGCTTTCTTGCTAATTTTCAAAGGACAAATGTGGCTCTCACAAGAGCTAAGTATGTTCTTTCTTGCTAATCTAATTTACATAAACAATAACAAATTAATATCCTAATGCGTTTAATTTTGAATGGCAGGCACTGTTTGTGGATTTTAGGAAACGAGGCAACCTTAAGCAGTGATGAAAGCATCTGGTTAAAAATAATCAATGATGCAAAGAAAAGAAGATGCTTCCATAGTGCAAATGATGATAAAGATCTCTCAAAAGCTATATTTGAGGCATGTATCAAGTTTGATGAGCTAGACAACTTGTTGAATATGGATTCTCTACAAATAAGCAAGACTAAGGTGAAAGTTTTTATCAAGAAAATGAGATTGTTTTCTTGGCAATTCAAGCTACTAACCTTGTTTTTAATGGCATGGCACCAGAGATTTGATCGCCCATCTCGTTCATATCCACAACAATGGGTTGCTAGAGAGAGGAAGAAGGTTAACTTATAAGTGGCGTAAATTAGGTATTATTTTAAATCTCTTTGAGTCCATTACTCAAATTCAAGTCTCTATAACAGAGAATTAGGCTTTGTTTGGGACGACTTTTTTGCTGCTTTCTAAAGCAATTTTCTAGTACTAAAAAGATGATTTAAGAAGTAGGAAGAAAGCCGTCCCATACGAAGCTTTAGTCTCAGCAGAATAGAGCCGTTTTCAGATCGAGAACTATGTATTTTTCACTTAAAAAATGCAATTGAAATAAATAAAGAGATTACCCAGCAAAAATATCAGTGCAATATGGAAGCTTTAGAACTAAAAAGCCTATAGCACGAAAATGAACTTGTTTTCTTTGCAATTATTGCAAACTACTAACTTGTTTCTTTATGTCACAACAGCAGATATTCGACAGTTCAAATCCAGGAGTAGGGTTTTTGCTTCAGGAGGAAGGAGGACAAGAGCTTTTCCTGTCTATTTATTATGCTCTTCTGGTCCAAAAAAAACTTCACTAATCATGAAAATGATTTTTTGTGCTTATTTAAAGCCAAATGAGCTCACAAACATATTATCAAGGAAGAAGTGTTGTGGCATATGTTAATATGTTAATATGATTTGCTAGAGAAGCTTTTGAGAAGGTTAACTGGCTTGCATCTATCATTGGCACAACACCATCAATGCATAGGCCAAAATATTCAAATTGAATATATATTATTTGTTTGATTATATTTACAATTTTAAATTAATAACTTTTTTTTATCAATTCTAATTTTATTAATTAAATTATAATTAATTGAGATTAATATCACAATTAAACATTAATTAGTAATTTATAATTTAATTATATTTAATTAAATTAAACCACAACTAATATTAATTTATTTAGATTAAATATTTTTTTAATTAATATTATTTTAAATTTAAATTTAATATATATGATTTAGTTTCTTTCAATTAATATATCTTATTAAATACTCTCATTTTCTCCCCCAAATTCAATTCTCCGAATTCGTTAAACTCTTTTTTTTTTTTATTTATAGAGTACATTACATGATATGAATACAAAGAATCACTATTGACATGTTCGTTTGGTCGGGAGGACCGCAGTCGGCGGGCGACGGAGGTCGGAGGGCTTGTAGTCGGTGGGCGACGTAAGTTAAGAGGACCGTAGTCGGTTGGCGACGGAGATCGAAAAGATTGTAGTCGACGGGCGACGTAAGTCAGGAGGACCGTAGTCGGCGAGCAACAGAGGTCGGAAAGACTGTAGTCGGCGGGCGATATGAGTTAGGAGAACCATAGTCGGCGGGCGACGGAGGTCGGAAGACTGTAGTCTGACGACGAAGATCAGAAGGACAGCGTCAGGTAGAAGTCCAACAATGGAAAGAAATCCATCTTCGCATAGACATCCAGAGAAGTCCGATAATCGGTAGAAGTCCGGCATCGGGTAGAAGTCCGCCGTCTATTGGTGGCAGAGAAGAAATCCGGCTTCACTTGGGCGGAGTTTCGGCGTCATGAGGGAACTCTGCTGTAAATTGGGAAGAATTTCTGCATTCCATGGAAGTTAGGCAGAATTCTGGCGTTCTCCCGAATATCCGGCAGAAATCCGGCGTCTTCAGGCGGCAGGAATAGCTCCGGCGGTGGTCGAGGAGGAGCTTCTTCCTTCTCCTCCTTCTTCTCTTCTTTTTCTCTCTCTTCACTTGAGTCCCCTTTGTGTTGACTGAGGGCTCTAATTATAGTTTTTCTGGAGTGGCATAGCCCGTAAATAGGCGTGAGAACAGGGGCGAATTGGGAGTTGTTTGAATGGACGGCCGATATCGAATCCTTTGATCATGCACTGTTTGTTGGACATTTGGAGGCCTTAATGATGTCGGAATTAGGCGATCTTGGGCTCGTTGGATTGGTCCCGTCGAGCCGCTCAATTCGAATATAAGCTCGTTAAAATCGGAGACCGTTTAGTAACTCAAATTGCGGTTTGAACCTTCCAACAGCGCTTCGGGCCCTTGATTCGGACCCATTTGGGCTCGGATTGGGTTGAATTTGGTGTCGTTGGATTCATATTTCCGAGATGCTCAGTTTGATTGTGAGCTCACCAAAATCGGAGTTCATATGCTCTTGAATTTAATTTTTGAAATTTCCGAACTAATTTTGCCTCGAGATTCGTGCCCAATTAAGATAATTTCATGATAACGTATCAATTATGATCATTACTGATAAAAGTAGAATAAATTATCGACCTATAAGTATTGACAGGACAAAATTGATATAAAATCAAACTAAATTATAAATATACATAACCAAGCTCCATTCCATAAGGAATGGCTTTGATTTGAGAACTAGGCAAATGAAATTAGGGGTGTGAGTGGAGCCAGTTCGAGTTTGTGAGCCTAATTTATCGAGTTTCGAGCTTGAGTAGAATTTCGAGCATCTTGGATTATTGAGCTCGAGTTCGATTCAAATGATGCTTAGTTTGATTACTCATCGAGAGACTCGATTAAATACGGAAGGCGAACTAGAGGAAGGCGAAAGGAGGTAGGCAAAGCACGGACTAACCGCGAAAGGTCTCTTAGCATGCGAACCTATGAAAACGAAGCAGGTTGCGCATTTGCACGTGCAAACTGCGCAAGGTGGATTGGTGAATTGTGGAAGGCTCTCACGAGCTTGTTTTCGGAGGCACGAGTGGAGCTCGAGCTCGGCTGAAATTTTGAGTTCAAGTTCGATCTCACTCGAGCTTGTCTCATTTGCACCCCTAAATGGAACCAATAGCATTGGGAGTTATTAAGAATCCAGCCCAACGTTAAGTCCGACAAGAATTCCGAGAGCTGACCGTCTGGACCACTATCCATTTTGGAATTTCCTCAAACATCTGAGATTGACAAGCACGAGCGCTCTTTTCCAACGCCAAGTTTTGGAATCCCGCAAGCATCCGATAGGCAAAAGCTCCATAGATCTCCGATTACTGCGATGAGGGAGACCGCCGATTTCTGCGATTCTATTTGCCGGCGTACGAATGGCCCCATCCCGTCGGCGAGCAAGATGTTCGCAATCCTTTTTCTCGCCTCTGGTTTCCTCCTCGCTCGCCGGATGCGAGAAAAACTACGTTCTTCGGCACCTCTCTTCGTTCTCTCCTCCGATGAGATCGCCGCCGCCGTTTGCGTTCTTGCTTCCTTAGCTTTTCATCTTCTACGCCTTCGCCGATCATGATGACTTCTTAAAGGAGACCGCCCAATGGATTTCCAATCGGCATGGTGAGACGATATTTTTTTTTTAATTTCATTTTTAAAATTTTCATGGTGAAAAGATCGATGGAAGAAAAATTCTTCCCTATGATACTGTATATTGTTTTTTAAGAAATCTGTGAATTGACCAAATTAATTGAGATTTCAATATCAAGTCCAGCTATGCCTTTTTTAATGTTCAAAACTTGCCTGATTATGATTCAATTAATGAAGAAATTTAAGTTTTTGGACGATAACTTACAAACTTGATTGGTATTGATGCTGATTATTTTTTAGATCGATTGCTCGATGAATTAAAATTTAAAGAGTTTACTACACTTAAAATACAATAAGGTTACTAGAAAGTTACAAATGACCTATAGAAAATCCGAACTATTCAAACACTTACACAAGTGATAGAAAAAAAAAAGTCAGTAGCATTAGGGAATTTGGAGAGATGGGAATCAATGAAAGACAGACAACAAAACCCAGAATAGGAAGGTCATTGAATCGACGAGGAAAGCAAATGCAGAAAACAAGAAGTTCCCGAGAAATTCAACATAAAACTTAGGCTGCACATTAACCAATACATCAACAAAATCTTTTAAATGGACAGAATGATAGGGAGTGTCTTTCCTACTATTTGCTGCTTGCTCCATTTTGCCGTTTCTGACTTGTGCTGGGAAGATTCTTTTTTCTCCCTTTTCAGGTTGGTCTTTTTCTGGAGCTTTCTTGGGTGCTGGAAGGAGTTCTTCTATTCGATGGCACTGTTGCTGGTCAAATTTTTAGAATTTACCACTTTTTGGGTTACTCAATTGTGTATGTTTTGGATGGTATAGTTGGGGTTTATTTCTTTTGACCTACATAAGTTTTTGTTTTTGCTTATGTTAGGTAGTTTTTTTACTCGTAATCTTTTTACTTGTAATTATTCCTTTTATCTTTAATATATGGGCTTTGGCCCCAAATTTTCCCAAAAAAAAAAAAAAATGATAGGGAATGAATGCATACATATCAATGGCGCAAAATAGCATACGTCATGATGCATGGCGTCATGTGGCTAAACTACGGTGCCATTTATATTGCACGGCGCAGATGTTCAAAATAACGCGCGCTATTTGCGCCATTGCAATAGGACAAATAGCATGAGCAATTTTATTTAAGGATTCTTTAATATTATTATAAATATATTTTTAATGCTTATATGGTTTTAATTTCTAAGTTAATGTAATAATGAAATTTAAGATTATTTGCTATGATAAAAATAGTTCAGTTAGATTTTTATTAGATTTTATTTAGGTTTACTTGCCGTCTGAACCCTTCGACACTCGCAAGGGAAGTTTTTGCTGTTGTTGCTCGAACCCTTTGACACTCAGGAAGGAAGATGGTTTGACTATTCGGTTGTTGCTTGAACCCTTCGATTTAGTTGTTCTGCTTCTTCTTTTGCCTGCTTCCGTCGCCCTCACCCTCGTTCGCTAGTCACGACTCACGACATCCACTTCGTCATCTCCTTTGACGAAGGTGTTGGATAGGAAGTCACGAAGGAGGCTTGCTGTAAGGTAACAATCTTCAATATGCCTTCTTCGTCCTTCAATTGTTTTTTCCTATCATCGCTTGGTCACGACTCACTCTTCTTGTGGAATAGGAAGTCATGGCTTACAAATAAGGGCGTCAATTATTTAGCCAAAAAATATGTGTTCAGGTCAACTCGTTTAACAAATTGGTTGGGTTATGGTTCCAATTTTTAACCCGTTTGAAAAGTCAGGCCAGGTTTTGGTCAACTTGTTATCCCGAATTTGACCCGAGTCACCCTCCCGAGTTTGGACCTCGCCAGTTACCCCACACATTCTCCTCAACAAGGCCCAAGTGGACCTTGTGCTTGAGGCACTCGCGCCAGTACGCTGTAGTGGCTTAGGTGCAGTCCCGCCCATAGTTGGCTCTCACCCGCATGATTTCATCCTCGCCTTGTACCGCAGTTGCAATTCCACCCTCACCCTCGCTATGCACCATAATCGCAGAGTCGTGCTCTCACCCGCAAGTGATGAGAACATCAAAGATCAACGGCTATGATCGTGTTTATTTATTTTGATATATGTTATGTATTTGATTTGTTATTGTACTTTTCCCTTTCTATCCTCACTTGAGGGCTTTGTCTTATGTTTACCCAGGAGCAATTGTGTCTTTTTATTTTCCTTCATGTATTTGAC